CCAAGTACCTTTTTTCAGTTTTGCGGGAAGTTTTTTATTGCATTTTCTCCTTCCTTCATATTTCCAGTGACAAAATAGAAGAGAAAGGGGGCGGGCAGGGGGAAGGGAGACAGAGGAGGAAAAAACGTCAGAAATGTTCTCTCTTAAAAAAACAAATATTTTGCAAAAATGTTCATTGAGTCAAAAAAGCCAGGTTTCATCAACCAAAAAATTTCAACCTGATCTAGGTGGAAAGTTTGTGGCGAGAACTTGGCCTTTGTGACTGCCCCTGAACACAGAGCAGAGATTTAAATTGTGCTAACTGAAATGATGTACAGGTCTCGTTGGGTTTTTTTCCCTAGTGATCGTCAGGTTCTAAGTTAATGTATCATTTGTAGGAGTAGTTCAGGTTATTCGAATGTTCACTAGCTTATGCTTGTCAGTATTGAATTGCAACTGCCATTGTTCTTCCCATTCACCTCCTTAGGTGAGATCCCTCTCATGGTCTCTAGTGTGAACTGACCTAACTGATTTTGAGTCCTCTGCAGATGTTGACACCTCACTCCTCAACCCATTTTACAGATCACTGATAAATATATTGAACAACATCACTCCTGTTTATTGCTAACCTTGCGCCAAGATGACATTGGACCAGTTTTTCCTTCTTTGTTTCTAAGATTCTTCCCCCTTCCCCCCACACACTTTATGGTTTCATTATGAAGTCTACCAGTAATTCATAACAAATGGTAAAGATCCTCAGCTGGAAGATACACCTTTTACAGTAGCTGAGACTCTGGCCTAAAATGTTAAAGAACAATAAAATCTGTGCCCCTTCCCCCCAATAACAATAGTTTGTCTAGAAAGACAATCCTTCAAAACACCTTATGGAAAGGAAAGAAATAACCCCCCTTTTTTTTTGTATTAATCTCATGCAGTAAATATGGTTTCTCAGACTGGCTTGAGAATAATAATTAGATAGATATTAAATTACAGTCAGCTACCTCAAAATATCTATTAAGGAATCTGTTGGATCAATATCAGAGCTGTTAGCCAGACTGAAAACTGCTAGCTTCCTTATTTTTAATTTGAGATGCAAGAAAGGGTTTTTGCATCACCATAATCAAAAAACAATCTACCTCATCTTGGCAGGAAATAAGACTCAGGTAGAAAAAGCAAGAACTGCACATTCTCCATTAAGCAAGGTCAATTTTTGATCTCAGATGTAGAATTTGAGAAACATCTTGAAATATAATAATTAAACCTAATGGCTCCTGATCCTTGGGTTCTGATGGGCTACACCCAGCACTGGACCAGAGAGAGAGAGACAGTGTGTGTATATTGTGAGGGAAGATACAAAGGAAGATTTGATACTGTAATGAGGGTTCTCAGGGCTTCCAGGGGCCTTTCTGCTTTAGGAGTGTTGCCGGCACCCAGTGCCGAGAGGCAAAACAACAGCAGGGGTTGGTTCGCTACCCGGTGTGCTTCACCCAATAATCACAACGGGGTGGAGAAGCAGAAAAGTTTATTTGAAGCTTCAAAAAGGTACAGGGAGAATAGAATCTCAAATCCTGCACACAGAGCAGGAAGTTACACAGGCTTTTACACATCCTTTCTTCAGCATACTTATCCAATAGCAAGCTGCCCTAAGTATCCATATAGCCAGCCAATCCAGTTACCAGCTAGTTCCCTTGTTTTTTGTATCATTTGTTAAACTATACATAAAGCTGCTTTATTCAGCATTTTTCTTCCATATCTGCCCTGTTTGGCCTTGTTTAGTTTCAGGCAGTCTGACTCTGTAACATATTGTTGCAGATCCTCAGCCTAACTGCTGTGAGAGCCTCCAGGCGCGGGGGGGGGAAGGACACTTGGGCCTAGTACGCAGCGCTCCTGCGAGTGCCTCCAGGCCAGGGGGGGTGGTGCCAAGGACACTTGGGCCTAGTGCGAGGGGGCTTCATCGACACTCGTGGTCTTCCATCCCCTCGAGTTACCTAGTGGCCATGCCCCAGTGTCCCCAACAGGGGTGTGCATGCCTTTGGAGACTTTGAAATTCTTAGGCTCAGCATGGAGGCTGTTTGAGAAATTGTAACCATCTCCTTATTTGTGACTTCAGGGCCTTTTAGGCTAGTAGTTTCCTTATTTTTTTGCTTTTCTGAAGTAACAGGAGTTGGCACTGGAGATCTCTAAGGGGGAAAGGCTATGGAAAGCAGGAGACTTAATGCTCTTGAACCACTAGGCTATGGCAGCCCCATCACTCCAGGTGGATGCACAAAATGGCAGATGCACAAGCTGCAGGCCACTCCAACTTACCTGCATAAAAGCAGCTGGAGTCATGTCCTCGTCCCTGGGTAGGATCCCAAGTTTTCTCCCTGCTTGCACAACAGAACCACTAGGTTTAAGCTTCCTCTGCATCCATGGAAGGTGCTGGCAGGATTTGCCCCTCTGCTAAATCTCTGGTCCCTTTGAAATCCATTGGAATTTTGCCACTTAGAATCATAGAATATCAGGGTTGGAAGGAACCTCAGGAGGTCATCTAGTTCAATCCCCGGCTCAAAGCAGAACCAACCCCAACTAAATCATCCCGGCCAGGGCTTTGCATCAAGGGGGCTGGGCTTTGGCTCTGAGATCAGCTCCCAAAGGTAATTTTTGCTCAAGGGTACCAGAGTTTATGCACTGTAGCTAATCAGAAAGTAAGCAGCCACAGAGATGCAATGTCATTTTTATTACCCCCATCTGTGGTTTGCCACAGGCTGTTTTTAATAACCTGCTTACAGTAGCCTTTCTAAACTCCGTGCCCCTGTTTTATTGCTATGCCTGGATCCTTATCTGGGGGAGAAGAGAAGGCAGATGCAGTTACTCGTTCTGATGCAATTGCACCCTGAGCTTTGCCTACCTGTGTCTGTAGAGGGGAGATGATACTGCGTGCTAATGACAACAGAGAGGCAGTCTGCAGTGGTCAATGTAATAAGCCCCCCTGCAGATGAGCGGCTATAAAGTCAAAGCTGCTCCAGTGTTTCAGAGAACACGTTGCCTAGTAATGGTCAGAGTAAACCGAGCTAGAGAAATTCCAGGCTACGAGAGAATCACAGGGGGCGCAGGCACAGTAAGTGGAGCTCATCTTTTTTTTATTTTAGTCACCATTCACGAGTATAAAGAAGTGTGCTACAATCCTGGATTAGATCTGTCTCGTGCCTCCCCAGAACCACTTGCGTTTGCTTGTTTCTGGTGCATCCCAATTCTATGGCAACCTCATGATTACAGACAGTGTAAAATGAACCTTCTCCCTTCCCACTCCACCCCTTTGCTTGGGGGAAGCTGTAATCCTGGTGTTGCATATTACACAATGGAGAGAAACCTATGGCGTGACTCCCTCTGATTTTATGGCTGATCCCGTCACATTTCTCTGGGAGAAGCTGGGCTGGACGCAGCAGGTAGGGAAATGGTACAGTGTGTGTCCTTTGGGTCAGCTGATTGTGCATCCTGATGTTTTGAATCAGATGCGAGTAGTCCATAACTAGGATCTGATCTAGGCCAGGTCTATGTTACAAACTTTTGCTGGCACAGCTATGCCAGTCAGGGGAACGAAGGGGTGGGTTCCCTGACTGATGTCGCTGTGCTGGCAAAACCCCCTAGAATAGACACAGTTATACTGGTAAGATGGTGCTTTTACCAGGATAATTTATTTCACCTGGGGTGTATGGAAGGGGGCAGGGGGACGGGGGACTGAAATAAGCCAACAAAAGCAGTTTTCCTGGTATGTGCTTTGTCCCCACAAGGAGTGCCTTACTGGTGTAGTATACTGGTATTCTATATCAGCTAAAGGCTCCTAATATAGACTTGGCCTTAGACCCACTACCAACCCTACTAAAGTGATTGGGAGTCTTTCCACCCACTACAATGGATCATCCCTAATGCAAAACTAACACATCTTTCCTTGGTCTCTCTGTGCAGCAGTTTATTTGTAAGGGAAGCCAGGAAAATGTCCTAGTTTGATGGTCGATTCTTGTAAACAGCCAATAAATTCCCAGGGCTGGGTATGTATGCCCCCTTCCTCCTATCTACATTTGTCTTTTTGTTTGCATGACCATTTTCTTAGTACTGTATATTACTCCCCAATCTTGAGCAATTGGTGTGAAATCTCTATGTATTTCAGAGAGAGAAGTGTTTGCCACAGCTTTGCTTAATTCCTGCCTTCTGTAACTTGGAAGGGGATATGCATGGCAGCCTTGGCTGTCTTTAAAGAAAACAGCCCGGCCACTGCCATCAGTGTGTATTCACTGGGCTTGTTTCGCAGGGATGAGTGCACAGTTTGGTACCACTCAACAACAGCGTTGTGTGTGTGTGTGTGTGTGTTTGTGTGTGTGTGTATGTAGTTTGGGGATGACTGATGGGGCAGAGCCTTCAGTGAGAGCAATGAATCAGAACCTTGATCAAACTAGTTATTTCTTATGAGTCAAATATTCTGGTAAAGGAAATGTCATCCTGCTGGAAATGAGCGCAGTCAGTGAAGACAAGTTTCACGGTGCTCAGTGTCAGCAGTCATCTTCTGAAGGCTTTCACTGCAGACTCCAAAGGTGCAGTCCCATTGTTAAAGCTTTGCTTTGGCTAATAAACCCATGGCAGTTTAGATGATGCAGCCCTGGGGTTTGCAGCTGAGAATACAAGGTGACCCTCATCTTCTTGTTTAAGGGAAAGTGTCCCCTTTGGACCATGCTGACGATCAGCTTCCTGTACCTCCACTAAGCCTGTGAGGTTTAACCCCAGCTCTGAACTCCCCCAGACTTTGAGGTATTTGAAATCCAGAGTCTCTACAGTTGTAACAGATGGGGAAACACTATGTAGGCACTCTATGGGGTTAAAACCACTATATACAACATGCTTAGGGGAAAACTCTCACGCACATGAGCTGTTTTGCAAGTTGGTGCCTGCAATGCAGTATAATGAAAGTGAGAGGCAGGGTGGGGGCGAATATGCTGCTCTGACTTCCGTGGGTTGCACCAGTATATTCATTTGGATCAGGGCAAATGAGGATGATTTATTTCTGCAGCAGCCACACTGTACAATAGCCAACAAGAAAGAGGTCGCCATCCCAAGGTTCAACAGTTTTAAGGCACAAGGGGTACGGTGTTGGACATGCTCATGCAAAAGACAGTAGGAGAGAAGGAAGTGAATGGTGTGAACTCATTGGATACAGAAGACAACACCGAATAGGTGAGCTTTTAGAGGTCTCTTGAAGGACAAGGGGGATGGATTCATAGATATTAAGGTCAGAAGGGACCATTATGATCATCCAGTCTGGATCTTGTTGAACATTAATCTGGATCTTAGCTAAGAACATGAGGTGTCACAAAAGGAACTGCAATAGCCCAGAGTGAGTGAAGGAGACAAAGGGAGTAGTTACACTAGTAGATTGGCAGCGCATATGGAATGGGAGGGAGCATAGGAGGAGACAAAGGCAGACTCCCAGAGAACTTTGGAGGTGAAGAGGAGAACCCAAGAAGAGAGGAAGGGAGAGTGGAGTTGGAAGAAGGACCGGGGGAGACAGATCTCCACAGAGGGGCATTGCTTCCACACTAACGGAGAACCCCGTGGAATGAGATGCACGCTAGATAAAAAGGTAATGGGGAAGCTATGGAATCGGCACCCTCTTCCTGGGTAGGAGGGGCTAGCTCCCTGCAGCAGCTCCCCTGATGTCTGTGAACTGCCAGCACGCATTGCATGCTCTGAGCCAGCTGTTCCAGCTGAAGTTTTCTCCAATGGGAAGCTCTTTTCGTGTGACTGACATGTCTAACCCTGCAAATCCCGATTCAGCTGTCGCTTTATATGCCACCAGCATTGATGGCACGTTTAGTTGGTGTATGTTTCTTAACTCTGTGCTGTGGTTTGGTTGTCTCTTGTTCTCCTTTTTCATTGTCCTTCCAGTTTGCCACCAAAGGGTAGGAATTGAGGGCGAGGCCCGGAGGGAGAGTCTTTTGACTTGGGGAGAAGAGTTTATTTCACCCTCAATCAAGGCAAATAGGATGGAGAGTGGTTTATTTTTGTTTGTTCGGTTGGTTTTTTGAGAACAAGAATGTTCCTTTTTTGGGCTGGCATCAGGGTGATGTGATCTGGTGGAGAAGGGCTTGGGGGGTGTGTGTGTGTGTGTGTGTAAATAGCTGCTGTCAAAATGGAGATATTTCATGGTATTTCCTGCCACAGCTGATCACTCATTTTCTTGAGATTGCACGAATACTCACCCTCCTAAGCGCTCAGTCTGCACAATGCCACTGCTGAATGGGTCAAATTCACATACACCTCTCCTGTTGTGCCAAAATATCAGAGCTTTACTTCTTTAACTGTGAGTTTCCTGTCCTTTGTGGGCTCCTGCTGCAATCATAACGATCTTTTAATGTAGTTTCTGTTGCATCAGTTTCCTGTTTGATTGCACTTTAGCTGATGACTATCATGGATTTATGTGACTGGGTTAAACCTCAGTGACACCAAGGGATGCAAACAGAGCAATCCCGTATCTGATTGTGGCACAGCATTGATAGGCTTTGTGCGGCAGCCCTGCAGCTGCAACACAGGCTCTTGGGAACACAAGACAGGAGAAAAGGGCAGAGAAGTGAAGAGTAATTGTGGTGCATCATCCGTGTTCTAATAGAGATGCAGATGAGCCTCATGCACGCAGGGCAGTTACTGATGCAGGACAAGCCTCAGAACATTCAGATGCTCATTTTGGATAAGCACCCACAGTCTGGCTGCTGATTTGAACTATACAAACCTCCTGCATCAGCAACATTTAACTCAAAAGCTCACAAGCACCATGTCACGGTCCAGGCCACCTGTCCCTGTATCCAGCAAGAATGCCTACTTTTAGGGTTCTGGCTCCCAGCCACCAGCTCTCTTGGGCGGACACCCCATCTTGCTTCCTTCTGATTGGGCAGAACTGTTTCCCACCTACACTGTGAGCTCCCCAGCAAGTTAGACTGCCTAAGCAGGCCTGCTTTGCTTTCTCCTCCGAGGCTATAAACAGCATAATTGCCCATAATTATAAGATACCACACAGCTTTTCTAAGCAAGCGCATTTAGTCTTAAGGTGAAAGCATTACAAAAAAAAACATATTAAAACACTAAAGAAACCTACATGCATGCTAATAATCTTACCAGAGACTACCCCCACCGCCCTGCCCAACCCCAGCAAGGGCTCTGCGGGTGGGGCAATCCTTCAAACCCACCAAGGGGGTTTGCTGTGGTTACAAGTTCCTAACAACATTAACAACATTAACATACCCCCCCCCCCGGTATTTCCTAGGAAACCCGATCAACTAAAAATTCATTCGTGTCTGGTACATTGTTTAAATGAGTCCTTTGAAGCTCATAATACGTCCCAGGGTTTACATTGGTCATGTGTCTCTCTTAGCGACATCTACCTCCCACAATAATACATAAACATTTGCATTTTTAATCCAATGTACAGTAGAACCTCAGAGTTACGAACACCTTGGGAATGGAGGTTGTTCGTAGTTCTGAAATGTTCATAACTGAACAAAATGCTATGGCTGTTCTTTCAAAAGTTTACAACTGAACATTAACTTAATACAGCTTTGAAACTTTACTCTGCAGAAGAAAATGCTGCTTTCTCTTTATTTTTTAGTAGTTTACACTTAACAGAGCACTGTACTGAATTTGCTCTTTTGTGTGTGTGTGTGTGTGTGTGTGTGTGTATGTCTCTGCTGCTGTCCAGTTGCGTACTTCCGGTTCCAAATGAGGTGTGTGGTTGACTGGTCAGTTTGTCACTCTGGTGTTCGGAACTCTGAGGTGCTACTGTGCTCCTAAAATCCTTACATTTAATCCAATCAGGTTTGTCTAGGATAATGTCATATCTGACACACACTGTCTCTCTCACAGGGCTGTGTGACTTCTGTTTCTGGAACTGAGAACTGAAATGCACAGGCGAGGGTGCAAATGAGAAAAAAAGTTACCCTGGCATTTCTGACCCAGCACAAAGGTTCCCTGAGGGTGCTGGGTGGAAGTCCTAGTCTGTTTGTCACTCTCTCTTCGCATCTGTAATGTTCCCATCACTGTGTCATCATTTCTTATCTGAATTGGTTTTCTCTTTCTCACACAGTCGTCCATTATGATGCACCTGCTCAGTGTCCAGTATTTACAGTTCAATGACTTGACTGCTTTAAAACATCAGTAATGTGTATTCTCACTGGCCCTGATCCTACTCCCATGGAAGAAAATGGCCAAGCTCCCCACTGGCTTCAACAGGCTCAGGATAGGCCCATTTGTGGATTAATTGCCTACAAAATGTGCATGATCATGTTTAATTAAAGGACAGTCTTCCCCATGGGCAAAGAGGGCTGTTGCCTCATAGACGGGAGGTGTGGATGCCTGGCACCCATGCCTGCAGCAGCATACATAAACATGGGGATGACATGGGTATGCTTTATCCATGAGGACTCTGGAGCTGACCCAAGAGTACTCCATTAATCATTTGGGCATAGTCCATCAGGAGCAGAGTGCACAGTGCTCCTAAGAGCTTGTATGCTGCTGTGCTACAAGGTCTTTTTGTGCAAGATGGTGTCATTTCTGTTCCCCCTTGCAGGCAAGATTGTGACTCCCTTGCTCAAATCAAGTCATATATTACATCGCAAGCATATCAATGGGACTTTTCTTCAGTGTGAATAAGAGTATCACAGTCCAGTCCACAGCAAGGAGAACAGTCTTTAACTGGGTGTTTCTATGCTGTAAAAGAGGAAAGGGGAAGAATTATGAATATAGAGTGTTGGATTTATGACTGCAGGAGATAGCGGTCCGCATGAAGCCCGTTTCTTCACCATGGCCTGTGAAAGCCAAGCAGATGGAGCTGAGAAACAAAGTCCCATCTCCTACTGTGGGACCCATGCAGGTGAAAGCTCCCTTCACTGGGTGAAAGGTAAGCAAACAGCTCCAACTATTGATTGCAACGACATTCTGAATCAGGTGGCATTAAACTAAGAGAAATTGCATTTTTTTTTCTTCAGGGCTGCTCATTTTCAACAGAAGGAATATAACCATTATAATAATTAAGCAAAAATAAAGAACACATACCATGGCCAAAAATTACAAAAACGTGGCTAGTAATTTTGGGTAGCCCAAGTTTGGGGAGCCCAGCGTGGTACACTTTAACGAGGCCTACTTCTCAGGAGTGCCCTGCTGAAAATTAGATCCCTTTAAGGCATCACAGTTGGGGCACCCAAAGCCATAAATCGCTTGTGAAGATTTTAGCCTGGATTTGTAAAGCGACTGACAAAATCTTGCTCTGTTTTTGTTGCTTAACACAACGACACTCCTTTAGAAACGGACTGAAGTCCTGTGCCCAGCTGATACAATCAGAGCACTTCGCTCCTGTAGCACGTTTCATGGATAGATCGCCAAGTGGTTGCCCTGTGCAGATCCAGCTGCAGGATCAGGGCCCAAGGTTTCAAAGTGATTTTGAAAGACATTAGTGGGAGCTGCAGGTGCTCAGCTCATCTGGAAATGAAGCCATGTAAACATTTTGAAAAAGGGTCTGTTCATTCTGAGCGTCTCCGTTTCTGGTTTGCCCAGTTTGAGACACCTAGTAGCTAATGCCTGATCGGCAGAGGTGCTGAGCACTCACAGCTCCCACGGGCATCAACTGAAGTTGCAGGATGCTCAGCACCTTTGAAAATCACTGGGGGCTAAAGCTGGGCACCCAGAATTATTAGACTTTGTCCTGAGTAACTTGCCTAAGGTCACGGAGTGGGTGAGCGGCAGGGCGGAGAATAGAACCCAGGCTTGCCGACTCCTGCTCCTGGCTTTCTGATGATGTAGTTCATCTCAGCAAACACATAGAACATTGTTTCATTCACATACCCTTGAAATATGCCTATTCCACGGATTTTAATCTGAATGGGCCACACCTTTGTGTGAGAAGGAATTTAGCTTCCTTGTTGTTAGCCAACACAGGGAAACCTCGGGTGGGGCAGAGCTGGTGCAGAGGGTGGGGCAAGGTGTGCCATGGGTAGGAGTTAGTGGGGTAGAGTCTACGGTGTTCTGCCTTGTCCTCTGCCAAGACAGCAGTGCCTTAAACCCAGTTTCTCAAAGGTATTTAGGCACCTAGATACCATTGAAATCAATGGGAGTTAGGCTCCTAAGTACTTTCAAGGAGCTGGGCCTTAAAGCCATTTGTCACGGATCTTCACAGCTGTTTTGAGTGGGTTGAACCCATTGTCTCATCACCCACTGGACTGGCACATGATCCCTTCCCAGGTCAGGTCACATCCTCTTTGGGCACGTGTAGGATTTGGTCTCCTTACCTTTCAGCCCTTGGTCCCTCCAATACAGCCAGAAGGCTGCGCAGCTCTTCATGTTGTGATTTTCTTCGAAATGATAGAGGAAGAATTCAGAGTCCGTCACATGCTGAGAGCTTCTCAGCACAATCTGCCACTTCCTCAATTTGCAAGCCCACTTCAGCGCTCAAGAGGAAAACACACCACAGACCAGTCCCTTTTGATCACACTCAGCCTTCTCCTCCGATTCCTTTTGCAGAGTTCCACAATGGCCAAGTGCTTATGGTTCTCACTGCTAGCAATACCTGCTCTTCCACCTTCTTTGATCTGGAGCTTTGTGCAGAGAAACTGAAGACCTTTGGAATTCAGGTTAGCTCCTCACTGGGAACCTGGCTACTTGATGGCTTACTGGGGTGATGGGTATTCTGATGCCTGTGTCACTTGCCCTTGTTACAAGAAATCAGGGTCTACTTCATATCTGTCACGCAGAAGTATAGATGGCCTATAGAAAGAGGGCTATCACTTACACCTGGGCACTCCTAGTGACTTCAGTTGTCTTTTGTGTGTGTCACAAGTCGATGTCTAAATTATTCAGCCATCTAAGTGCTGCATCACTGAGGGTAGCAAGGTGTTGCAGCTCACACTCCAGTCTTCTAATTGTGCACTCCTCTACATTTGACTGTCTGCATCGCTGGCCTGCAGTCATGTTGGCTTAGCCCAGGAGTGGGCAAACTATGGCCCGGAGGCTGCATCTGGCCCTTCAGACATTTTAATCCAGCCTTTGAACTCCTGCCAGGGAATGGGGTCAGGAGCTTGCTCTATGCGGCTCCCCTCTGCACATGCTGCCCCCACCCCAAGCACCGCCCCCGCAGCTCCTACTGGCCAGGAAACGGGGCCAATGGGAGCTACAGGGGCAGCGCCGGTGGACGGGGCAGCGGGCAGAGCCTCCTGGCCATGCCTCCGTGTAGGAGCCAGACGAGGGACATGCCGCTACTTCTGGAAGCTGCTTGAGGTAAGCGCCGCCTGGAGCCTGCACCCCTGACCTCCTCCCACACCCCAGCCCTGATCCCTCTCCTGCCATCTGAACCCCTTGGTCCCACCCTCCTGCACCCCAATGCCCACATCCCTGGCCAGAGTCCTCACACACTCCCGCACCCAACCCCCAATTTCGTGAGCATTCATGGCCCACCATACAATTTTCCTATCCAGAAGTGGCCTTTGGGCCAAAAAGTTTGCCCACCCCTGGCTTAGCCCAATTGTCACAACTTATTACCTTCAGAGAGGTTGGGTGTGTATAAATTTCAGCTGCGTCTGAGAAAGTGATATTACAAAGTACAATGATAGTGCTTTGAGATCCTCTGGTGATAAGTGCTCTGTATAACTCAGGGCTTGTCTACATGCGGAGTTGAGTCAGTTGAATGGCTGTGATTTTAAACGAGTGCATATAAACAAGCCCTGCAGCTCATAACAATCAATTTGCAGACACCTAGAAGATAATAAGGTGTTAAGTAACAGTCAGCACAGATTTGTAAGAACACCTTTCTTTGACAGGGTAACAAGTTTTGTGGATAGTGGGGAAGCGGTAGATGTGGTATATCTTGACTTTAGTAAGGCTTTTGATACTGTCTTGCATGATCTTCTCATAAACAAATTAGGGAAATGCAACCTAGATGGAGCTACTACAAGGTGGGTGCAAAACTGGTTGGAAAACTGTTCCCAGAGAGTAGTTATCCGTGGTTCACAGTCAAACTGGAAGGGCATAATGAGTGGGGTCCCACAGAGATCAGTTCTGGGTCTGGTTCTGTTCAATATCTTCATCAATGATTTAGACAAAGGCATAGAGAGTACACTTATAAAGTTTGTGGATGATACCAAGCTGGGAGGGGTTGCAAGTGCTTTGGAGGGTAGGATTAAAATTCAAAATGATCTGGACAAACTGGAGAAATGGTCTGAAGTAAGTAGGATGAAATTCAATAAGGACAAATGCAAAGTACTTCACTTAGGAGGAACAATCAGTTACACACGTACAAAATGGGAAGGAGTATTGTGGAAAGGGATCTGGAGGTCATAGTGGATCACAAGCTAAATATGAGTTAACAATGTAACGCTGTTGCGAAAAAAAAAAAAGCAAACATCATTCTGGGATGTATTAATAGGAGTGTTGTAAGCAAGACACGAGAAGTAATTCTTCTGCTCTACTCCGCTCTGATTAGGCCTCAGCTGCAGTATTGTGTCCAGTTCTGGGCGCCACATTTCAGGAAGGATGTGGACACATTGGAGAAATTCCAGAGAAGAGCAACAAAAATGAATAAAGGTCGAGAAAACATGAACTATGAGAGAAGATTGAAAAAATTGGGTTGGTTTAGTCTGGAAAAGAGAAGACAGAGAGGGGACATGATAACAGTTTTCAAGTTCATAAAAGGTTGTTACAAGGAGGAGGGAGAAAAATTGTTCTCCTTAAGCTCTGATGCTAGGACAAGCAGCAACGGGCTTAAATTGCAGCAAGGGAGGTTTAGGTTGGACATTAGGAAAAACTTTCTAAGTGTCAGAGTGGTTAAGCACTGGAATAAATTGCCTAGGGAAGTTGTGGAATCTCCATCATTGGAGATTTTAAAGAGCAGGTTAGAGAAACACCTGTCAGGGATGGCCTAGATAATACTTAGTCCTGCCATGAGTGCAGGGGACTGGACTAGATGACCTCTCGAGGTCCCTTCCAGTCCTACGATTCTTTGGTTCTCTAGTCTGTTTCACTAAAAGACCTGATCTTAGCACTAAAAGATCCAATCTTGCTCGCACTGAAGTCAATGGTCAAACTCCCAGTGGCTCAAATGGGAGCAAGGATGGGCCTGTTGTTAGTGGAGAGAGACTTGAGTAACATGCTTGCCCATGGTCAGTGAGCAGTTAGACAAACCATTCATTGTGCTAAAGACAGAAAGGGATGGAGCAGAGCTGGAGGTATCTGTGATGGACACAGCATTGCAAACTGTCACCTTTAAATATGATCTTGGTCTGACATGAATTCCCATGATGGGTTCTTTTGCAGTTTCATATCAATACAGTGATTCTGCCTCACAAAGAGTTTCACTGCTTTCAGGGCAAACTAGGCTGACTGCATGAGCAGGGCAATGAATTATACACTATTACTTAACACTCAGTCCTTGTTCACACACACTCTCTCTTTAGTTAAATGGGTGCAGACCCTTGTGTGGACTCTCTTATTTCAGTTTAAAAGGGGCTTATTTCAGTTTGGCTGAAACCTGTTCCTTATGGACTTCAGCTAAACCAAAAGGTTTGATTAAACCAATATAAGAATGTTCAGACAGTCTTTTGCACGGATTTAACTAAGTTGGTTTAAAATCCCATCAGTTAAATTTCTGCAACTGGTGCAACTCTGCAGGTAGATGTATCCTTAGTTATACAGAAAGCAGCTTTCAACTGCGGATCTCAAAGCACTTTACAAAGGTTGGTGGTATTATTTACAAATGGGGAAACTGAGGCACAAATAGGTTTTGAGGGCAGATTTTTATCTCTGTTATACCAGTATAAATGAGATCAGAATTTGGGCCAATGTCCCTTGTTTGGAGGCAGAGTCTGGGACATAGGCCAATCCTATCGAATCTCCAATCTCATAATCTAATAATGTGAAATGCCGGCCTGGCTCTTGGCTATTGCCATTCAGCTCGACTTCTGATTGTTCTTAGAGATCTGCATAAAAAAGTGGGTGGGATTTGTTTGTTTTTGGTTTCTGAACAGATGACAATGGATCAGTGGAGGAACTTAATTCAAAACGCCATTCTGGAACCTGAAGTAAGAAGATACATGTTCTACAACTCCAGAGCTTTTGGGATAGCCATTGCTGTGGTAAGCATCACGGCCCCTCATTCAGGTTAATTGGTATTAGGGTGACCAGATGTCCTGATTTTATAGGGACAGTCCTAATATTTGGGGCTTTTTCTTATATAGGTTCATAATATCTCCACCCCCGTCCCGATTTTTCACACTTGCTTTCTGGTCACCCTAATTGGTACGTGCCATTACTGATATACAATGAAAATTGCCTTGGGGATTTTCATAGGAGCCTAAGGGAGTTAGGTGCCATTTCAATGGGAGTTTGGAGAAGGGAATGAATTTTCAAAGGCACAAATGGGAGTTAAGTGTCCACCCCCCATTGACTTTCAGTGGGAGTTGAGCACCTAACTCCCTGAGGCCCCTTTGAAACTTCCATCTTGCAGAGATTGCTGTATAATGAGGCAGGTATGCCCACGGCCCACTTTTCAGGCGTCCCACCACAGGCAGTCAGTTAGCAAAGCTTTCGCTGTGGTGGCTTTAATGGGGATGGAACTCATTTACCAGAAGCATCTGCCTCATCCCATCCTTCTCAGCTCTCAAACATCATCCGAAAACACTCTGGACCTCATCTCATTTACCCTGAGGTCTTCACACTTCTCTGGCAGGCCCAAGGAGTCTTAAAATGGGACTAAATTATATTTTCACCATCTTTCAGGCCCCTTCTCATGAACAGGGTGGAGTGGCCCTTGTGTAAATAATAATCAAGTGCTCCTTTCTCAGAGGTATTTTTTTAATGTCAGCCATTGTATTTTCGCTAATGCTGCAGTGTTTAGATTTTTAATATTTTTCTGTTTGGTATTATTGATCTATCCTGTCTAATTGATCTATCTACCCCATATAACATTGTACCACACTGTATCATACCTACCTTTCAGTCCATCTCTAATCTATACGTTCCATCAGGCAACATCCTGTCTTAAGATACTACTCCAAGGTATCCCCAAATGAATACGACTCTGCTCTGCCTTCATTAGTCCCTCGAGTGGTCCCTTGAGGCAGGTGCCACTGTACATTGTTTTTGCATTATTGTATTTTAATTTTCTTGGCAGTACCCTTCGTGCTTTGGTGTGGGAACTTTATAAACACAGTGACTATAAGAAGTATTATTTTCAATACACCTTGGGGAATCCGTTTCTTACTAGAAATGGAGGAACTTGGTTGAAATCCTAAGTATGAAACACCATCAAGAATTCATCTACTGTCTTTGATGATCAGGAGCTCATTCAATCCCGACTCTCATTCTAGACCTCTCTCCCCCATGTTTCTTATTAGAAGGACCTTTTGTCCATTAACCCTCTGAAAATCCCTGGTAATTTATCTAATTTATGAGAAGGGAACTTTCTTGTTCTCTTGACCTTTCTTCTGCTTTCGCTATTTTTGTGAGTATTGTTTTCTGAGTCTCTCTGGGTCTTTTCAGATTTTCTACATCTCAATCTGGGCAAATATTTACTCCACCATGCAGCTGTATTCCTTTGGGTGCCACTGGGAAGTCAGCATTCTGGTGACGTTGGCTGCCATAGCACTCACTATAGTTGTTATATTGATTATTGACCAACATCAAAGGAAGGTAAGGAGAAATTTCTCACTTGTTCCATTATGTAACAACGTATTTCTTTCCAAGCAAACAGTTAGGGAACAAGGTAATTGCCTAAAAGTATTTGAAGAGCATAATTGCCAAGAAGGGATGAAATATTTTAGAATGGGCACAGTATAATTAGAATAACCAATGGGGTGCCAAGATAAAGTTAGGCTGCATATTAGAAAAAATAAAAGCCCTAGGGCTTGATCCGTAGCCCACTGAAGTCAATGAGAACCTTACAGAGACTAGGATGGACTTTGGATCAAGTGCTGAATGATGAGAGCTATAGATTTAATCTTCCAAAGAAAGAAGTGGAAGCTCCATTGTTTGAAATATTGAAACCTAGACTGGAAGATATACAGGACTGTCTGAGATAATCCTGAACTGACTGGTGCGGGAAGGAACAGGAACAATGATTTTACAAGTCATTTCCCTCTCCATCTTCTGGGATTATATCACATTTTGTGGTGGGAGCGCTGGTTGAATAGACCTGGTATGTAAACTTGCTTCAATGGCAGCAGAGTTAGGCCAGAGCTGAGTGTCTCTGAAAAGACTACCTGAAATGGATAGTTTCTCTCATTGCTTTGTTTTCAGGGACTTAGGACTTTGGACCATCAGAGTCACCGACTCTTTACAATTCCTGGTTGCAGGCTGGCCTGGAAAGTCACCGTGGGACATGCTAACATCTTTGTTATTTAACAGATACATGTGAATACTGATGTGAGGCTGGCAGCCGCCAATGAAGTCTTCATGAAGCACAACTTACTTCTGGGGGTTGCAGATGCCATGGACAGGCACCAGAATGTTCTACAGGTATCCTTTCTGGGTGAGACAATTTCCCCTCATTGCTGGTGCTTGCAGATAAGGAGGTATTTATCATCAGTCTCCTCATCAAAGAGGTTCTCCAGAGGTTTTTTTTTCATATCTAGGGACTGATCCACTGAAGATAATGACTCCAACTGAGTTCAGTGGGCTTCTTTATTATTTGTTGAGTGCCAGCAGGGCACTCAGGGTTGTACAAATATAAAGGAACATGTGGTCCCTGCCCCTAGAGCTTACATTCTATGTTGCAAAGACAAACTCATTAAGGCACCAAATACACCATTTTCACAAGTGCCTCCTGACTCTGCGTGCCCTACTTTAGACACTTTAAAGGGGCCTGATTTTAAGAGGATGAGTGCTCAGTGCTTTCAGAAAATTGGGCCTCTTTAAGACATCTCAAATTGCCCCCCACCCGCAACATAGAGGGACACCAAATTAGTAGGTACTTCTAAAAATTTAGGCCCAGAGGACCAAATGAAAATGAGTCTCAGACCCACTTTTTAAAGAGAACTTTTGTGGATTATTGCACAAGAGCTTAGAAGACGTGCAGTTGAAGAAGGGGGTTGAAGAAGGGGACAAGAAAACAGAGACTGCCCTCCGAGCATAAGAGGCAGCATGGGAGAAGGCACAATGATTAGAAATGGAGAGGAAACCAAGAGCTGATAGGGGAGTAGGAAGAAATTAGGAGAGATGCAAGCAGGAGGGGAGTTATGCGAAGTCTTGAAGGTGAGGGTGACACACTTGAGAATTTGAACTAGATGTCTGGACAAACCTGGCTACACCGCTAACTAATCAGGGTGGCTAATGGAATAGGCTCTGGGCTCCATGCATGTGTGCTGGGCTTGTCGGAGAGCAGAACTAGGCCCAAGGATGTATATTTTTATCCGTTTTACTCCAGTGTTTGACTATATCTTTTCTCAGCTTTCATATTGCTTTGGAATTCCCTTGATCATGCAAAGGAAGACTATAGATGTGTAAACCCCCCCCCCATTGCCCAAAATTGGAGCACCTCATTCTTCCCTGCTCAGGGACTCCGTGGCCACCCCCCCCCAAGGATCAGTGGGTCCTGGTTTCCGAGTGACTGATGCCTCCATCTAGTGGCTGGGAGCACAAAGCCAGCAACTTCTAGGTTATTAGGTCACAAGTACAGCAAATCAAGGACTACACAAAAATAAACCACAGTTTATTCCCTGGACCAGACAGAGGTCATTTAAAAGAAGGGGAAGGGAACAGGTAAAGGTCTCAGAGAAAAAGGCCCCAGCCACTCCCAGAACAACCACTAAAACTCCCAAACAAGAAATACCCCCATCAGACTCTCCCCACAGACCTGACCAGGGAAGTGGGGCTGAAGCTCAGGTTGTAGGCCTGGTATCCCTGTCTATGCATCCAACCACTCTCATGTCCAGCTGTCCCCATTAGCTGGGCAGTAATGAGGCCTGGCTGACCCCTGGCTCCCAGTGCAGGGGGGCCTACGGGCACTACTGGTTTTTCAGCCCCCCTGGATGTAGCTTCTTGGGCTTAAACTCACCATTGTGGAGGGGAGGCTCTGTTTTGGCCATCTGACGGGGTCAGTCAAAATGGCTGCCTCTCCTGCAGCTGTGGAGAGCAACAATCAGTCTCCTTCCCCTCTGGCTCTCCCTCCCTGGTCACTTGACCCCTCAGAGTGAGCTTCACAGTGCAGGCTCTTTGGGGCCAGAAGTTGGTCACCCCCGTGTGCCAGTCCAGTTCCTAGGTGTGTCCCTCCAGCACAAGCAGATAGGCAATCCCAGTCTTTGCCTGTGGGAGCTGTGCCTTGTCTCCCAAAGTCCCCAAACTTGGCAGGCAGTGGGTACAGATAGATACATTGCTAGCTCAAAAGATGGAGCATTAAGGAATTGTATTGGTGTCTGTCCTGTAAAATGCTCCTTCCTTAACGTTCTCCACCATCGTCAGCTTTGCTTTGTCCATTTCAACTTGGAGCAGTGTCTTCACTCCTTAGCAGGCTATATTACAGAACTGAAGAGAAACCACCAGGTAAGTGATGCTTGGAGCAATCTGAGCTGACTGTGCTACATACAACCTCTAGAATTCGGAATAAATGAGGGGTATAGTGCATGGGACAAGTTCCCAAGTATACTCTGGTTGCCTTACCCCGCTCTAGTAACACAAAACAGCCAGAAACATGGCTTCACCAGCCAGCTGAGCTGGGTTTGTGGCTGCTTTGCATCATTGGAACAGCCCAAAGACGCCAGTATGGTGGTGAATTGAGCTCTGTGTGTTGATCTGAAAGTGAATCTAATACAAATAAAAAGGATCACCTGTTTGAATTTCCTTGTGATCAGGCCCCTGTTGTAAATTTCTTCATCTAGGGCCAGATTTTTAGAAATGCATGTCGCAAATCAATGGTATTCATCCATGTCCAGTTCACGTGCAATTTGGTGCACACATTTCTATAAATCTGTCCCTTGATAATGAAACATAACAATTTAATGAAAGAAAATGCAGAAGAATCAGGGCCAGATTTTGATACCTGTACTCACATTGAGTAGTACCTAACTTCCTGAGCCGTGTGACTGAAATCAATGGGACAGCTCAAGGAGTAAGAGACGAGGCTGTTTGACTGAAGTTATATAATCTAATCCCTTCAAAAACTGCTCTAGCTCTTCTCCACTAGGACGTGCACGAATGTGTAAATTCCACCCTGTAGTGTCATGACTGGTAATGAGCCCAGGTCCCAGTGTGTGGTTCAAATCCCCACTCCTATAATTCTCTGAAATCTGAAGAAGGCCCTTTGCAGAAGTGATGGATACAGCAATGGGTGGAATGCAACAAGCAAACTGAACAACCTAACAGGCATGGCACATTTCAGACAAAAGCATGATTATTTATTATTTGTGTAGGGCTGGACTGTGAATGTCTTGATAGTGTGCAGTTACTCACACAAGTAACACAGCTGAAATGGCTGGGTTTATTTGTGTGAGATACTGCTGACCCATGTGAGTATGGGGGTCACAACCTGATCTAAGAAAAGGAGGACTTGTGGCACCTTAGAGACTAACCAATTTATTTGAGCATAAGCTTTCGTGATCTGTAGTCCTGGCAATATGCCGGGTGCTGTACAAAATAGAGACCTAGTCCCTCCTGCAGGGAGGTTAAATTCTAGCTAGACGCACAGCACGTGTTAGACAAAGTACGCACCACCTGATGAAATGCAGCTCCGCGCTCAAAGCAGTGTGGGTGGCTCTAACATATTTTTAGGCTTGGCAGAATTCAATGTTTATTTTTTAAATAATGTTGACATATACTATGGATGTTTATTTTTAAGCACTTTTTCAATCTCTATCGATTTAAATTTTCACATTTGCAGAAAATTGTGGGGGCAGAGTGTCAGACAATAGAGTAGGCTGGAGGCAGACAATAATTATTTAAGGGCAGGAGGCATGGAGATACAAAAAGGTAAAGCTTGATGACTGTTAGAACATTAATTGTCAACATCGTATGTCAAAGCAGAGAAAGTAAATATCCTTAAATCAGACAGTCATTCTCCAGTGGCATTTTCTGTACTTTGCCTGTTAGTAAATTTCTATTAACATTGATGGAAATATTTTTTCATTGGTTTGGGTGTGTGCGCGTGCGTGCAGTGAAATGGACATTCGCCGATAAAAATCGAATCCTTCCAAGCGTACATCTTTTTCATGCCCTTCTTTCCTGGGTGGATAATTGTGGGTAACTGTGCAGCACCAGATCCTATAAATTACCCTTGCCAGGTACTCAGAGAGGAAAGGCAGAAAGACAATGCTGCCCACCTTTGGAGATCCCAAGAGCTCTCCTTGTGTTTTTCAGTCAGCCCTGAGGCACAATCTGGACCAGTTCTGTGTCACTATGGAGACAGTGATCCAGTCGGGTCAGGGGAGAGGAAAGGAGAGTTCGTCTGAAGAGTCACCTCTTCTACCCAATGACAAGAAAGGGACTCTGGCATGCAGTGAACTGCTCCAGCTCATTCCAGAGGGAGCTCCAGAGGTAACGTGGAGCTAAGCAGCAAACATTTTCTCTCTGGCTTAGCAAGAAAGCTTCAGTGGGATGGGTTTGATTGACTGTACATTTTTATACGCAGAGCTATTAAGTGAATTTAGTGCTGGTGACAGCCCTGGAAACGGAAGCCCTCTAGCTATCTCTAGAACAATATGAGCTGTGGCAAAGCAAGCTTGCCCCCGGCTCCATCCCTGCCAACTTGGCTCAGCCCTGACTCCCTGTCAGGAAGAGGTTGTTCAGTCTCCATGGCCCACTTAGTCCTTTGCCTCTCAGCTGGATCTGTCCGCTAATAACAAGTGTGGGGGCTGTTCTGTGAGGCTGACACCAGCATGCTGAATCATTTCACATTGGGCCCAACATGGCTCTTGGATGGTAATAACATTCTATCTCTGCTGACCTGAGCTGTATTTGAAGCAGTGACTTAGCCAGCACTGTACTCCATTACTGTTCCTTTGAGCCATCTAGTAACCTCACTTATATTGCCATTAAGGACAGAGGGCCTGATCCACATTTGCAGTAAGGCAGTGTAAAGGTGTGTACACTTTAAAGTGACTGTAACTTAGACCCCTTTACATAGCCAGAATGGTGTAAATGTAATCAAGAATCAGACCCAGATAAACTTAAGCTGAGTGCAGCCAGGATCCCCTTGCTTTACGGGGACTTTCCTCAGTATTTCCAGCCCCTTGTGTTCATCCCATTTTTCATACAAGAAATATAGCTACAAAATGTCTTTGGTGGCTTTTGCACTATCTGCTGTTGTAGGAGCATCTGTTTTGGGGCTGGATCAGGAATAGTAAGGAGAAATGCATTAAGAGTTATCATTTAGTATCCAATACATCATCGACTGGGGGGCAAGATGTCTCCTTGGCAGGAGATATTGGCACCAATATCTAAAAGGTCTTTTTCGTCTTTGATTCCTATGATTGCCCCAAGACTTTATCACCATGGATAAATCACCCTAGAACTCTGTCACCATGGGCACTGTGAAGGTATTGATGTGTGGAGTGCCTCTGATGTTGATCTCATTCTTGTTCCAGGTGATGGCTCAGCAGCTGTTGGTGATCTTCAGTGGCTATTACATCAGACTCTTGATCAGTGGTCAACTCCCTCAGGTCATCATGTTAAGGCATGTGGAACACATGAATATCCCCTGCCTTTGCCAGTTCATAGAGACGAATGTGCTTGACACAGGACACTGTTGGTTCAAGGCCAGGTGACGTGAGGGGCCTGGAATGAGTTGTTGCAATTAATACTGTTCAAATACAGAGGTCCATGGAAGAAGCCAGGGCATAGGGAAGTCCCGGAGAGAGATGCAACTGCATCAGGGATTTGTTTTGACCAATGAGAGGTCAGTAATGAGGTGGAGGACATGACTTTAGTTAAATATTCAAAATCCCATTCAGAGACAATAAAAGAGACAGACACCTAACTGCCTTCTTGCAGAGGAGCAAAATCTCATGTGAAGAAGTGAATTGGGCTGCTTACAAATGTGCCTTCCTTACTTCTCGTCAGGTCTGTTGGCCGTCCAATACAAATAGTTTCATTTAAGTGTGTTTGTAATGAGCTATCAACTCATGCTGGCAATAGTGCAAGTAAGGATCATGCCTGGATGATACACAGCATATAAAGTTCATATTGTTGAATGTTTAATGCAAGGAACATGGCAAGATCATGGCTAGTTAAGTTTCCTCTTTTATGCTCCACTCATGTTCCTTTCATCATGCATGTGTGATCCTTGCATTTTTCCCAGCATGGGCAAATAACCTGGCTATTGTCTTTATTTTCTTGCACAGACATGCTCTATTTTATTTGGCACTGGAGATCAGAGCATGACATCTCTCATGCTTGCTCCACCCCAGCAGAAACTCACAAACTCTTAGCATTCCATTTGTTCTGGACTTCTGTTGGTATTTGTTGTTTGCTAGGCATGGACACTGCACTCAGCACTGTACAAAACACAGAAGATGTCACGACCTCTGACCTGGAGAATTGTTAACCTAGGAGCATGATCAGAAACATCCCCCACTCCCTTTTACTCTATCAGGAGTTAGGGGTGATGAACAACTTCCAGAAGGTGCTCAGCATCTCGCATTATTAGGCCTTTTAAAAACAGACAACATGAAGCACACTAAAAAATCTAAAGCAAAGTTCTTTATTGAGCATCTTTTCTTCAGTTTTGGGACAGTATTTTGGGGTTTTTTTTTGCTATCATTTTAAATGACATGGAAAAGGAATTAGTTTTAAGCAGGAGACCAAAGTGTCTGCTTGTTACCGGGTTAATTTAATAAACAGCAAGTGAACAAAGTGCTTAAATTATACAAGTAATTGCATCCTGGAGTAATAACCGTGACTGGGCAATCAACATACAAGTCAGACGTGGCTCATGCTTTCCATCTGAATCCATCGGACAACTGCAGACTCTGTCAGCTGGTTTCAGCAGGTAAACTTAAGGCTATAGTTCCATGGAGGAACTGATCCAGTACACATGGCAATAGGGATTTACATGACCTCACGACCATGACAGGCTGTATCTGTAAGATTGTAGTAGCTGCCTTAGGCACCCAGACGACCTAGTGACGATCAGGGTATATGGAGCTAGACAGTCAGTTGTAATGACGTGCTCCTGCCCTGTTATTTCTAATTGTAAAGTCCCCTGAATATCTTATTTCTGTTGATGAAACACATTCATTTGTAATTTGCCTCTCCATGGAGGCACTTAAAGATATAATTTAAACCAAGATTCAAGCACTCTTTCCTATTACATAGGAACATGGGAATTGCTAGACCACATCAGACTAGTGTGATCCAGCTCAGTATCTTGTCTCCGACAGGGGCCCCTGCCAGACGTTTTTGATGACAGAGCAAGAAAATCCATTGGGAACAATAAAAAAGTAACCTGCTCCCAGGAGAAATTCTGTCCTTACCCTCCTCGTTGGTCTATGCCCTGAAATGTGCGGTTTATGTCCCCTATAACTATTTGTTAAGTGTGGATGTTCGCGTTATCCATGTAAGTGTCCAATCCTTTTTTTGAAGCCTTTTTTCTGCAGAGAAATCCTGGTTCCTCTGAAGTTTTTAATAATGACTTCAGTGAGCATTTCACCCCCGGCCTCAATAGTTTCTTGTGGCAGGAAGTTCCACATTGTTCTGAGCAGGCCTTTGTCATGAAACTCTTCCAACAGACCAGCTTATGGTAACAAAATAGAAAATGTTACCTCTGGTTGTCTTGATAGGGCACTTGACTGGGAGTCAGGATATTTCGGTGCTAATACTGGGCGAGCAGCTGACCTCAGGCAAGCCACTTCCTCTCTTCGTATCTGTCCCAGGGTGGCTGGGCCTTTTAAAGGAAGCAGGTTCAGGCCAGAACTGGTGCTCCCAGTTTGACTGATTAAGAGCATGGGGTGGCACCAGAGGGAGAGTCAGAGAGGTAGGAGGTCCTTGAAGATAGCTGGAAGAGGTTCCTGAGGCAGCAGGTGGTGAGGTTTATGGCTGACCTCCCCAAGCTGGAGAAGGCTGAAGGCAGTAGAGCAGCATAGGAACTTTCCTGCTGACTTTGAAGCCAGAGAGTTGAAGATGGAGGGCTGAAGCCAAGGGGGCAGTGGAAGGGCTTCCTTGCCGGTCTGTCTGAGATGAGTGGTTAACACAACTGGGGAGAGATGGCTGTTCCCCTGGTGAGGATGACGTCCCAGCAGAGAGGTTAGTGGTGGGGGTGGGTGGGCTGCCCTCCAGCTGGAAGGCCGTCCTAGCAGAAGGACAGGAGAGGACAGAAGACGAGCCCAGGTGTGGTGGATGATGCCGGAATGTGACACATGCTATGCTGGTGAGCTAGATGTGGTGGGATTTTTAAAGACTATTTCCAGACAGGGTGTGCCCTGACTGTTTCCAGGTGCATGAACGCTACATGAACCCTTCACATGAGGGAGTGATAAGTGGACTGTGTTCATGGACGTTTGTTAAGGATTATTTGCACTATGTTTTTGTAATAAAGTGCGCCCCCCCTTTCTCCCCAGAGGGGGATTATTGAGGCAAGAGAGCCTGTCATGGAGCCTTTCTGAGAGGGGAATAGCCTGGTGCTGGAGCTCCCAGGTGCCAGGGGGCATCCAAGGATGAGGGGGAATCATTCACAGTACTGCTGAATCACTTCATTCCCTCTGTCTGTCTTCTCTGTTATGGCTGCAAGCTGTTCTTTTACCACGTGTTTGCAAACACAGTAAAACACCAAGGGGCATAATCTGGGCTGGGGCCTCCATGGCAACCGTAACACAACTAATAAATAATTCACTGTGTATGCCAAAGGAATAAATGCTTACAAATGGAGCAACACCAAAAGGCCATCAATGTACAGTACACTTGCTTTCATTAGTTTTTATTTCTGGTTGAATTGCATGTTTGTAGCACAGGAAGGATTCGGACTTGTTCATCTCCACACAAAGGAGTTTGTGAATCTGTCGTCATTGTTCACTGTGACAATATAGGGAGAACTTCCCAGAAGAAAGGAAATCAGATCACCAAGGGCCAGATCCATCCACCCATGTAAGGGTGGTGTCTTCCCTCCATGGGCCAAATTCTGCTCTCTCTTACTCCAGTGTAGACCCAGAGTAACTTCATTGAAATCAATTGAGTTTCTCTGCTTTATGACCGTTTTAGAGATGATTTTTAGCCCTGAAGGCCAGATTCCGTTCTCTGTTACACCAGCGTAAATTCAGGGCAACGCTGGTCCAGATCCTCGGCTGGTGCAACTCAGCATAGCTCCAATTAATGGAGCGACACTAATTTTTATCAGCTGAAGATCTGACTCTATTTACTTCAGTGAAGTTACTCTGAAGTTACACCAGTATACATGAGACCAGAATGTGGCCTGATATACGTATTGAATACGACTTTGGTTTGAGAAGGGTAACATATTCTCCCTGGCCCCAGTATAGAGCATGGAGTAAGTTTTTGAGGCAGCAGTTATAGCAGATGCTGAGCATCGGACTTAATTTGTCTTTCATCCTGGGAAATCCTTGTGGCAAGGGGTTAGTAAGGACAATTCATATTGTTATACAAATGCAAGATGGATTTACTGGTGAACACGCATTTCCGATCGCTGGGGAGCAGACCAAGACCCTTGCAGAATCAGAGAGAAAGAAGGCCTCAGGCTTCCAAGGAGGGCCCTGAGGCCATCTACCCTCAGGATCCGCAGGGCTGTTCAGGGCCGAGCATCTTGTTCCTAGCGACGGCGCCCGTCACTCGGGGGCCTTCTGATATCACCGTGTTTACATCTGAAAATGCAAGCGCAAGAGAGGAAAGAGGAGGAATCCGCAATGTTAGCCGTGGGAATGAAAAGGCTTATCCGTCACATGAACAAAGCTTCGACATCAGCTAGCGAGGAGGCTACGTTCCAAGCCTTACAGCGGGAGATTGTAACACAGAACAAGGGAAAGCTGAGGCTAGGTCTACACTGAAAATGCTACAGCTGCACACCGGCATCTGTAGCGCTTCAGTGTAGACACGACAGTGCCGGGAGGGGTTCTCTCAGTGCTGTGGTTAATCTACCTCCCCAAGAGGTGGTAGCCAGGTCCACGGAAGAATTCTTCTATCGAACTAGCGCTGTCTACACAGGGACTTAGGTCGGCCGAAGTCTGAAGGGGGGTGGATCTTTCACAGTGCTGAGCGACGTAGCTGTGTGGATCTAATTTTCTGGGGAAGACTAGCCCTGAGAACAGGAGCCCAGATTTATATTAGAAAATGTTTTCAGTCTTAAATAGCCCAGCCAGCAAAGCTTCCAAGCGTCGGCAAAAACGGGCTCTTGTTGGTATAGTTATTTCACTCACTGAACCACTATAAGCAGCTCCATTGAGTCCAACAGAGCTATGCTGATTTACACCAGCTAAAGAGGAGTCTGTTAGCTTAAAGGGGAAGTTTAAATACCACTGCCAGGGCAACTTATCTGACACCAGTTAAACTGCGATTCCAATTCTGGGCCTCTCTGCGGCCCCACCCCACCTGGCTTTCAGTGAGCCTGTTGAAAAAACTCTTTGTTTTTCAGTCACAAACAGCGATGTTGACATAGCTAGGCTGGCATAGGCTTCATGGCCACACCTCCTGCTGCTGCATATGGCAATACAGGTTGATACTGCCAAGATCTGAACTCACTTACGCTTAAGGTGACCATATGTCCTGATTTTATAGGGACAGTCCCGATTTTTGGGTCTTTTTCTTATATAGGCTCCTATTACCCCCTACCTCCGTCCCGATTTTTCACATTTGCTGTCTGGTCACCCTGCTTACACTAAAGCAAATCAAGACAAACTGCACTGAGTTACATTGGTGTAAACCTGGTGTAAGTGAGAGGAGAATCAGGCTCATTACCTTGACCATGTAAACCCATCACTCACTGCTTCTCTTAGAGCTTGAGCAAATGATTTGGAGCCCTTCTTTGGACCTCACTTCTTGTGCCTCAGTCTCATCAATCTACTATCCAATTGCTGCCACATTTTAAAATCTAATCTAAGACTCCTGAGCAAGGGTTCAGACAGCAATTCAGTTAGCCTTATCTTATCGGAAAGTGGTGCACGCTTGGTATATTCTACAGCAATTTAACAGGAATAAAAGTGCAAGTCTGTCAAGTGACAGCCATATTTTGTGTCTCCAAGAGCTGATCAGAAAGGAGGGAAAGTCCCAGCTGATTCATTGGCTAGTAGCAAGGTATTGAATTTCAGGCAGCTGGGAGAGCCGCAGGCCTCCTGGGTATTACATGAGCCATCTGCAAAGTCATGCTGACTTCTGTGTTTTAAATAACTTCCTCTAACTGATGCAGCCAGCGGATGGGGGTAGGACTGAATTTGGTAATGAAAATAAGAGATGTGTTTGCCTGGTGTGTGATAAGGCATTTTGGCATCAAACAGGAAGCCTGCTGGGGAGACCTAGATCTGGGAACTTGAGGGTGCTAAGTGCTTAAACAGCTTATACCTAATCTGCCCTATGACTCTATGTGGGTCAGTTCAATGTGAAGTTCAAGTAAATTTATACTGGGATTTTTTTTAATGGTGTCTCCTATTGGGCAAATAGACAAGTTTTGAAAAGACTTCAGCTAATCAAAAACAAAGCTGTGTCTGTAAGGAAATGTGGGGGTGGGATATTGCCTGGCCATAATAATTTGCAGCCTACCCAAACTTACATGCCTGGCTATGGCACTGCCATGCAGCAGACGTAGGAATAGACCCTAAGTCTCCTGAGTCCCGACTGGCTGCATCCCATCTCCTTTCTAATCTAGTATGCTTGTTGCCCCCCA